GAGTCGGGGCAGCTTACAAAGGGACAAGCCCAAAGAGCACAGAGTTAAAATGTAATGCAATAAAATAAAAACAAAACACAACCAAATAGAAACATATCACACCACAACATCATGAGAACAGTACCATGGGAGCAATAAAAGTGCTGAGTTCAGAGGGCTCTGAGTTTGTGCAAAATTCCTAGGTAGACCTAAGGGAAAGTGCAAAATTCAGTGGCAGGGATGGGACAGTAAAGTCCTTGGGCTTCATAATGCCAGGATTGTTGAGTGGAGGGCCATGCTAAAGTGCCAGAACTTGGGTATTAAAGGGCCAATTCTTTGGAATTGCCTAATCAAAGGCATATTGGAACATCTGTGTTTTTAGGTTCTTGCAGAAAGAGGACAGGGTAGGTGCCAGTTTGATCTCGCTAGGAAGAGAGTTCCAGCGGCAGGGGGCCACCACCAAGAAGGCCTTCTCCCTAGTCCTCACCAACTGCACCGGAGACGGAGGCAGAAGCAGGACCTCACCAATCTCCTACTCCCAGCATCATCATTTCACTATGCGATGCAGCCAAAGCAAAAGAGGATCACAGCGGTACAATTGTAGGGTGTGAAAACTAAGGCGTTCAGGCTGAGACTATTCCCTAGATGCCAAGGGAAAGACTGTGGAGAACCTGGGTTGCTGTGAGTTTTCCGGGCTGTATGGCCATGTGCTTGAAGCATTCTCTCCTGACATTTCACCCACATCTATGGCAGGCATCCTCAGAGGTTATGAGCTCTGTTAGAAACTAGGCAAGTGGGGTTTATACATCTGTGGAATGTCCAGGGTGGAGAAAGACCTCTTGTCTGCTTGAGGCAAGTGTGAATGTTGCAATTGGCCACCTTGATTAGCATTGAATGGCCTATGAAGAAGGGAAGGACCTCTTGCATTCTTTACACTAGAGAAAAAAATCCACTTAAAATCTGTCTTCTGCCTCCTGCAGAATTCTGGGGTTTGCAGTTTAGTGAAGCTGTTAAAGGCTCCTAAACTACAAACCCCAGAGGAGACAGAAACCGGATTTTAAGTGGAGTTTTTCCCTAGCGTGATGAGGTCCTTGGTGACTGCACTGAATCAGATTCTTCTTTGCCTCTGAGGTTGCAGAACTGACACCACTTGAACTGCAGTGGGTCAATGTTAGGGAACCCGAGGGGTTTTACAAGGTCTTTTGCCCAAAAAGTGCTGGTGCCTCACTAAACTGCAACCTCCAGGATTCCATAATATTGAACCAGCCACACTGCATGCATTCGGCAGTGAAGAGGGACCCTGAGGGAGAGGCGGAGGCGGCGGGGGAGTAGAAGGGAGGCCGGTGGAGACGATTTCCCCCTCCCAGGGATCCCTCAGCGACCCAAAAGTCTGAGAAACCAAACCCAGGCTGCCTCTAGAAGTCCTTGCTTTCCAGGCTCAATGGAGTAAGGGAGCTTTCGGGAAGAAATCAGCCCTACATTGCCGGCTTGTCCCTCGGATCATGAGCCTCCCCTGTCACAGGCAGAGAGAGAAAGGGTCATTTATTCGGAGATCCTTTGCGGAAAAGAAACACAGCGGGGACGGAGATCCTTTTGGAGACTCATCAGGCAGACCTTAACCCCCCCCCCTTTTTTTTAAAGAAACTGCAAGTCACGTCTGGTGTGTGAGAATTGGTCGTCTGCAAGGACGTTGCCCAAGGGACGCCCAGATGTTTGATGCTTTACCATCCTTGTAGGAGGCTTCTCCCATGTTCCCCCATGGGGAGTTGGAGCTGACAAAGGGGAACTCAACCCGCTCTCCCCGAATTGGTATTGCTTTCAGTTAGCAGTCCTGCCGGCACAAGAGTTTAACCCATTGCGCCACTGGGGCGCCTGAAAACTCCCCTGATATCATAGTATTTATTTAGCCACCCACGGCAGTTAAGAAGCGGTGTCATTCTATAGTGTAGATTCACCCCCAATTCGCGGTAGTTCCAGAGGGAAATGGAGGAGACGAAATTGAGGGGGGAGGTGGCTTTTTTCCTTTATGAAGATGGAAAAAGGAGGAGGTGGAGTGGGAGAGGCCTCTACTAGTGATCAACTCTTCCTATCTCGCTCTCCTTCTCTCCCCTTTACAAGGAGACCCAAGTTGCCACAGGTTTCCCCACCAGTAACCTTGACTCTCGTCTCAGTCAACTCTAAACCCCCGGTGGCCCAGTGGGTTAAACCCTTGAGCCGGACAGGTCAGCGGTTCGAATCCCCAAGAGCGGGTTGAGCTCCCGTCTGTCAGCTCCAGCTCCCCATGCAGGGACACGACAGAAGTCTCCTACAAGGATGGTGAAACATCAAACATCCTGGCGTCCCGTGGGCAACGTCCTTGCAGACGGCCAATTCTCTCACACCAAAAGCGACTTGCGGTTCCTCAAGTCGCTCCTGGCACGAAAAAAGAGTCAACTCTGTCAACTCTTTCGACTCTTGTTCCCAGCCATATCCGCCCATCCGTTTCTCTAGCATTGCTTCTAAAATCCCAGTTCCCTATATCCCGATTAGGTTTTGACGGTGCTGGAGAAGAGGAGTCTCTCCCACCCCCCTCCGTTTTGCATATCAGACCCCACAGAGCCCCGAAAGTCTCCGAGGATGAGCAGGAACTCTCTCTCAGGAAACTAGAGAGGCGTGAAATCTCCTAGGTTTCAAGGAAAGGCTAGGAAAGTCTCCTACTGCAATCAAGGGGAGATAAACTGAAGTTCTCCAGCCACTAATCTCTTCAGAAGTGAGGAGGTTCTACGCCTTTCCACCTAATTTTGGAAGCTAAGCAAGAGGTGACCGCCAGGTGCTGCAGGGTGGATTTCCGAGGGAGAAAGTGGCAAAGCCACCTCCTTGCCTTTAAGAAACCGACCTGGAAATAACGGGGCTGCCACAAGTCAGGGAAGACTGGAAGGCACAGATAGTACACACACACACGCGGACGGGGGTGGGGGAGATGGGCACCCCACAAGTGTTTGCCTGGTTATCCTTTCCTTGCCCTCCTTTGCCTTGCCCCTCTCCTTTTCTAAGCGGATGGAGGAATCATAGACTCATAGAGTTAGCAGAGACCTCGTGGGCCATCCAGTCCAACCCCCTGCCAAGAAGCAGGAAAAGCGCATTCAAAGCACCCCCGACAGATGGCCATCCAGACTCTGTGTAAAAGCCTCCAAAGAAGGAGCCTCCACCACACTCCGAGGCAGAGTTCCACTGCTGAACAGCTCTCACAGTTAGGAAGTTCTTCCTCATGTTCAGGTGGAATCTCCTTTCCTATAGTTTGAAGCCATTGATCCTAAAGTGCCCTTCATCACATTGGAGAATGAATCCACTTTAAAACCGGTTTCCGCCTCCTGCAGAATTCTGGGCTTTGTAGTTTAGTGAGGCTGTTAAAGGCTCCCCTCTAAACTACAAACTCCAGAATTCTGCAGGAGGCAGCAACCGGATTTAAAGCGGATTCATTCTCTAGTGTGGCGAGGCCGCTATTAGTCTCCAGGGCAGCCGAAATCTGGGGGAGTCAGGAATGCCCATGTTTCCCTCTTCTAAATGTCTTTCTCTTCTGGATGTTGCGCATCCTTACTTCCCCACTTAGTTGGAGGAAACGATGGGACCCTTTCCCCCGCCCAAGATCCCTTTGCTCATCCCAAGCCACCCCGGGAACCAAAACGAGACCTTCCTTGCGCCTCTCCCAAGCAGGAAAAGTCAAGGGGACGCGAGGGTTCTTAGATCCTCGATCCAGAATGACAATGACTCGCTTGTTGTAGGTTTTTCGAGCTATATGGCCATGTTCTAGAAGCATTCTCTCCTGACGTTTCGCCTGCATCTATGACAGGCATCCTCAGAGTCACTACCTCTGAGGATGCTGCCATAGATGCAGGCGAAACGTCAGGAGAGAATGCTTCTAGAACATGGCCATATAGCCCGAAAAACCTACAACAACCCAGTGGTTCCGGCCATGGAAGCCTTCGACAAGACAATTAGGTAGTCCCTTGGCCCAATTGGCTCGGACTCTTTGAGGATACATTTCAAGGGCATCTAAGGAAGGAGATACCGGCAAAAGCTCTCACCGCGACCCTTCTCTGAGGCTTTTGGAATAGGAGCAACGCCACCCATCCTTTCCCTTCGGGAGCCTGTCTCGTTGAGCAAGTCTTGGAGATACTTTAGAAGTGGGACACACCTGCTGCGAGGCGAAATGCTTAGGACTGTGCTGTATTTCAGCCGATGCCAGGTGACAAGAAGGCCTGAATAGTATAGGATCTAATGCCCAACAGCACCCAAGGGTCACTACCTTTCCTATGACACACACAGACAGAAAGAGAGGGGGGGGGGAGGGAGAGAGAGAGTGAGTATCTATACCAGGCATGGACAAACTTGGGTCCTCCTCCTGGTGTTTTGGACTTGAACCCTCCTCACACAAGGGCTGCACCGAGATCAGGCCTATGGGCAAATCTGGGCCTTCCTCCAGGTGTTTTGGACTTCAACTCCCACCATTCCTAACAGCCTCAGGTTTTGGACTTCAACTCCCACCATTCCTAACAGCCTCAGGCTTCTTCTGCTTAAGCGCCTGAGAGGGGAAAGGAAAGAGCCCGAGGCTGTTAGGAATGGTGGGAGTTGAAATCCCTGGCGGGAGGGCCCAAGTTTGCCCAGGCCTGATCTACACTGTGGAATGAATGCAGTTGGATACCAATGCTACGGAATCCTGCGATAGTTTGAGAAGGCACCCGCCCCCTTTGTCAAACTACAACTCCCCTGATCCCATAGCACTGAGGCATGGCTCAAACTGCACCCATTGGAAGGGTAGATCAGGCATCCTCAAACTGCGGCCCTCCAGTTGTTTTGTCCTTCAAATCCCAGAATTCCTGACAATGGAACAAGCTCATTAGGGCTCCTGGGGGCTGGAAGCCCAAGCAGCTGGAGGGCCGCAGTTGGAGTGTGCCGGGTGTAGCTGCCCCCCAGAGCAAGGGATGCAGTCCCGGCGGGATCCCCACGGGAGGGAGGGAGGGAGGGAGGCGGCGCCCACTTACTTCTTCCTTGCCGCCGGACTCTGGACGGGGTTTGCCGGCTGCCGACGGATTCCATCAGGTTCCACGCGATAAAGACCCAAGACACCAGTCGCAATTGCATAGTAACCCTGTGAAAAGTTCACCTCCCGCGGGGTCCTTTTTGGGGGGGAAGAGGAAGGAGGAGAGAGAAGAGGAGGAGGAAGGGGAGAAAGACGCCCTCCTCTTTCGCCCAAGCGAAGTCCCTCAGCGCCGACGCGGGTCCTTCTTCGCCTTCGCCTTCGTCTTCTTCTTATTGCCCTGTCAACCCGTTCCAGGGACGTCCTCCTGGCAGGAGCAGCGGGAGCCTCTGGGGCCGAGGGGCGGCGGGGAAGGGGCGCGGGCGGCGGCCTGGAGCCAGGAAGGGCCCGGCGCGCGGGCGCATGGTGCGCGAGGGAGAAGATCCGCACGCGCCGCTCCCGGGGAAGGCTGCCTTCCTCGCCCCCTTTCCCCTGTCCTCCTCCGCCTCTTCCTCAAGCTCCCAGAGAAGCCCATGGGGCCGCGGGCAGCGCTGGGGGTGGAGGCGGCAGCATCTCTGGAGGCAAGGGCACTCAGCGCAGGAGCTTCATCCCACTAGGCGCCAAAGAGGAAAAACAACCCGACCGGTTCAAGGTGTGAAGGAAAGCGGAGGCGCCTCTCTCCCTCTCTCTCTCTCTCTGCCTCTCCCTCGGCCCTTCTGTCCCGGCCAGGCTGAGCCGGCCAGCGCGTGAGCCTCTTTTTCTCCTCCCAGAGGGAGTTTTTTGGAAAGGGAAAAGCGACTCGCCAATGGGATGCGCGCGCGCGGCTTCCAATCGCCGGCTGGAGCGCGCGAGGAAGGAAGGAGGGAGGGAGGGCAGCCCCGCCCGGAGGGAAAAAAGGAAGGAGGGGGGGAAGAGGAGGAGGGGGAGGAGGGAGCGCCCACCTATCCACGCACTGGGCCTCCCAGCCTGAGTTGGGTCACCCCCCACCGGGTGAGAAGTCGCCTTCGTTTCCAAAGCAAGGGAAAGCGAGACTGCGCCTTACACCCCGACATAACTTGTTATTTCATCATCATGAAGATGTTAGGGTATTTTCACTCTTTCGAATTGACTTGCTCACAGGCAGTTCCCAAGTTGCTTTTTTATTTATCGTGTCATCAGCAACCATACCACTGTATTACAGTTCTAACAGAGCAAAGCAAACACACAGATTAAAAAGAAAAAGAAAAAAAAACACAGATTTTGCAAATTTGGTATTTGGTTAAATGTCCTTTGACCAGTACCTGGCCACTTGGAGTGCCTCTGGTGTTGCCGCAAGAGGGTCCTCCATGGTGCATGTGGCAGGGCTCAGGGTGCATTGCAGCAGGTGGTCAGTGGTTTGTTCTTCTCCACACTCGCATGCCGAGGATTCCACCCTGTAGCCCCATTTCTTAAGATTGGCTCTGCATCTCGTGGTGCCAGAGCGCAGTCTCTTCAGCGCCAAGTTGCTAACAAGATAGGTCCTGGGTTGCTGTGAGATTTCCAGGCTGTATGGTCATGTTCCAGAAGCATTCTCTCACAACATTTCACCCACATCTGTAGCAGGCATTCCCCGAGGTTGTGAGGTCTGTTGGAAACTAGGCAGGTGAGGTTTATATATCTCTGGAACGTTCATACCTCTCAACAAAGGATTCCCCCAGGCAGGAAGCAGCCAGGCTTTGAAGATGCAAGGCTATAACTGTGGCAGGCATCCTCAGAGGTTGTGAGATCTGTTGGAAACTAGGCAAGTGAGGTTTATACATCTCTGGAACGTTCACACCTCCCAACAAATGATTCCCCCAGGCAGGAAGCAGCCAGGCTTTGAAGCTGCAAGGCTATTTAATGCTAATCAAGCTGGCCAATTGCAGCATTCACACTTGCCTCAGACAGACAAGAGTTCTTTCTCCCCTTTGCTTTGGCTGCATCCTATAGTGAAATGACGATGCTGGGATTTGGAGTTTGGTGAGGATGCCTGAGGATGCCTGTCATAGATGCGAGTGAAATGTCAGGAGAGAATGCTTCTAGAACATGGCCATACAGCCCAGAAAACTCACAGCAGCCCAATTTTCCCCGCCAAAAAAGCCTTTGACAAAACAAGATAGGTTCTGTAGGTTTGTTCTTAAGTTGAATTTGTATGTAAGTCAGAACAGGTATATTGTTGAAGTGTAACTCCTTTAAAGTTTTGGAGAGCATAGGTAAGGATTAACACTTCTGTGGTGTTTGTTTTGCTGTCTGTGCCCCTGTTCAGAAGATCTCATCTCACTTTCTGTCCCTGTGAAAATTGGATTTTGGAAAATGTGGTTTGTTGTGGAAACAAGGAATGCTGAGAAAGCTTCAGTGGAGGCACCTTCTCCTCATGATAAATCTTTCAGGAGTAAATTCCCTTCCAAGGGGTAGCTTTCTCTCACTTGCTGTTGTCTCCCGCCCCCCTCCCCCATGTTCTTAACTAGGAATCATTTGTAAGTCAGATGTTTGTAACTCAGGTACTGCTTGTATGTTTAATTCTATTTTAAGGTTTGTCTTGTGTGGGTTTTCAATTGTTATCTGTTAATGCCCAAAGCCACTTTGTGTGTCAAGCTAAAGGCAGGATTATTAATAGTAACAATAATAAAATAGCCTAACCAAAAATAAAGTCTCGGTGTGTTGGCTTTTAGGCCTGTTCCTGGGGTTATCTGGGGCACTGATTCAGAAAATTGCATTGGATAGACCATATCAGCTGTAGTTTCTTAGATATGACTGGAAAGTTTAACTGTCATGACTCAATGCTATCATTGAGGTGTAGTTTTACAATGTATTTTGCCTTCTCTGTAAAGGCTGCTGGTGCCACCACAAACTAAGACTCCCAGGATCGCATGCCATTGAGTCATGACAATAAAAGTAGTGTCAAACTGCATGAATTGTATGGTGTAGGTGCATCCAGAGAGAGGGGGAAGAGTAACTGAGGACTGGCCCTATCATTAGGTGGGTTCAGGTAGCATAATTGAAGTAGCATGAAAAGACAACTCATTGCTATCCATGGATTGAATTATGAGTATTCAAATCATCCCTCAAGGTAGGCAAGCCATATCTGTGGAAGAGAGGGTATTTTGTCAAGAAAGAACCCAAACTATAGGGCAAACTTTAGGTATTAAAGGAGTACAATCAATCTTCCATATCCATGGATTCTGCATCCAGTTTGTGGTGCTTTTTTTCGTGTCAGGAGCAACTTGAGAAACTGCAAGTCGCTTCTGGTGTGAGAGAATTGGCCATCTACATGGTCATTGCCCAGGGAACACCCAGATGTTTTACCATCCTGTGGGAGGCTTCTCTCATGTCCCTGCATGGGAAGTTGGAGTTGACAGATGGGAGCTCACCCCAATCCCCAGATTCGAATCACTTACCTGCTGGCACCAAATCTGAAGGAGAGAGAATGTCAGACACCCCAACAGGCTGTTATGAAAAGTTAGGGGAAAATCCAAAGACACTTTGTATCCAAGGATTATGTAGTCACAGGTTCAGCTACCCACAGTTTGAAACTATGTTTTGAAAACCCCAAAAGGCAAGCCTTGAATTTGCCATAAGGGGCACTATTTTACTACACCATGCAACAGGGTATCCTGAACTAATGAAACTACAAATAAATACTATGATTTTGTACAATAGAGCCATAGTGTCAAAGTGGTATCAAATTGTTTCATCTGTATGCACTTGACTTGTACAGTATGGTAGATAGCATTTGCTGTTCTACATCAGGCAGCATAAGGTTTTGGATGAACCATAGTGAAAGAGGACAGAGGTGATACTACACTTTCTTTGATACTATCTTCTCTGTTCTTCGTAACTATGCTAGATCCACATAGCAATGGGAACCTTGGTTTAACTAGATATAGGGCTCCTTGTCAAGGTACAATATTAAAAGGTGTATGCGAGAAACAGAAAGGAAATGTCTTGCTCAGAAATATCTACTTCTTAAACTCTGGGCCACAGTCCAGTGTGTGTTCCTAGGTGAATCGCACAGTGAAGTGCTTTCCTCTTTCCTTCCTTCCTTCCTTCCTTCCTTCCTTCCTTCCTTCCTTCCTTCCTTCCTTCCTTCCTTCCTTCCTTCCTTCCTTCCTTCCTTCCCTCCCCAGGGCCAACAACAAGCCATTAGCTCCACTAAGAGATCAGCTTGGCTTCTTTTCTCCTTCTTGTTATACCGAAACTGTTATGTTACATTTTCATGGTGCTATTAAAGATATTACTGAATAATGTTCCATATCAAATAGATCTTCAATCTCTCTTCCCACATTTTTCCAGACATCTCATTCCATTTCTTGATGTATTTTTTTTAGTTAACAATACAAGTCTTCAAGAATCAGACACTTCCAGAATTCTGGGAACGAGAAATTTCTGTTCATAAAAAAAATCATGTTGTCATTCTGATTTAATAAACACGAGGACAGTCAACAGAAATAGATGGTTGTTTTGTAAGGCACAGATTTGCTCACCCTAAAGACCAACTATATAATATGCCACCTGATCTTAAATACATTTATTCAGAAATTATGCTGATTTCAACCTTATTCCTTACTTAAGCCTTGCAGCAAGGGAAATAGAAGATATGTATTTAGTGAAAATGTAAGCTCTTGGGTTCTGTGAGGCATACTCTTGACAGCAGGTTAAACCACCAGCTACAGAAAATCTTGCTGACTGGAAAGTTGGCAGTTCAAGCTGTGGGTTGGGGTGAGCTCCTGCCATCAGCCCTAGCTTCTGCTTACCTAGCAGTTTGAAAACAGCAATGTGAGTAGATAAATAGGTTTCACTGTGGTCGGGAGGTAAAAGGCACCCCTAAAGACATGAAAGCAATTCGATCAGGAAGGTGCCCATGGACAACAGGCTCCTAGCCATGGAAAAATGGAACAACAGCACCTCCCCATGGCTTAGTCAAGCACAGCCTCCAGATGCCTGAAATGAAAAAGAGGGAAGCCTTGCCTCTGTCTACGTATTGTCTGTCTTTGTTAATTGTATAATGGCATTGAATGGGTGCCATATATTCTTTAATCCGCTCTGAGCCCCCTTGGGGAGATAGAGCAGAATATAAATAAAGTATATTATTATTATTACATGTATTATGTTGAATGACTGCAACCTAAGGTTGGACAACTATCTGTCAAGCAAGGCCCATTGAATTCACTACAACTTATTCCTGATTAGAGACACATGGAATTAATTTGTAACTCAGATGACATTCATATAGATTTTCCTTTCAAAATGCCACCAAATGGGATGGGGGGTAGGGGTTTCACTATGTCCCCCTTCAGAGACATTTTAGGCCTTTTTTGAAACAATAAGTAAACTTTAAGTTATGACTATGAACAATTGATAGCTTATCCTCCATGAAATTATCCATTTTTTTTAAAAAAAAAATACACACCTAAGCTAGTGGTCTTGGACCATTAAGGTTGCTCTTTTCCTTATCATTTTTGTCTCCACAATATATCTTTTGAGATGTGACCACAGAAGGATCTGCACTGGAGCTCCTTTCATTTTTGAGGTACTGTACTTCTGGGCCATCCCTTTTAAAAGAAGCAACCACAGCTCTGTGAATACATGTTTCTAGAACATCTGCATGATATGAAGAGCCAGTAAACATAAATATACTTAGGCTGTACAGGTGATATTGTAATTCAAAGATATAATTTCAGTTTTGCTAGTTTTTTATGTCTCAATTACTGCCACCGCATTCAGTGACATATAGGAATTACAATTTACAAGTGACATCCAAATAAAAAACATTACTAAGGATGTGTATGGCTTGGT